CATGCAGTGAAGAGATTTCCAAACTGGACCCTTCTCAGTCCTAGGGAGTGTGGAGCATCTGGTAGACTGCTGTTGGGGAGGCAGAGGAACCCCCTGATGGGGCTTCTTATTCCCCCTCCTCTGCTTCACCCAAAGGACTCTGCTTTTCTCTAGTTTTATTTGTTTACACTTTTCTAATCAGAAGTAAATAGAAATAAAATCAAAATAGAGATAGAAATAATGATGTGTGTGTGCACATGAGAGAAAGAGAGAGAAACCACCAGTCCTTAAAATAATACTAATTTTGGAATCAGTTTGCTTGGGTTTGATTCTAGTAATATATAGTACTTCATAGTAAGTGACTTGGGCTTGGTCTTTAGCTACTCTGAGCTTTGGTTTTCTCACCTAACATACAGCAGGTGCTCAAAGATTTTTCTTGAGCAAATAAGTGAATAAATACATAATTTTGTATTTTCAGAAAATGTAATCTTGCTGGCATATTTGAGGATTAATGCTAATATAGGGATAGTTTAGTAAAGCCCAGGTATACAGTAGGTATTTTGCAAATAATAACAATAATAGAATTTATTGCTGTTATTTTTATAACCCTCATCTGAGGATATCTTTTTTTAAAAATTGATTCTAGAGAGAAAGGGAGGGAGGGAGAGAAAGAGAAAGAGTGAGATCAATGTGAGAAGGAAACATAGATTGATTGTTTCTTATATATGCTCCAATTGGGGATTGAACTCCCAGTCTAGGCATGTGCCCTGACTGGGAATCAAACCTGCAACCTTTTGATGTACTAGATGATACTCCAACGAACTGCACCACCAATCAGGGCTGTTGTTATTGATTCAGTACATTTGTGGATTGATGTACCAGGTGCCCATGTGGCACTTGTCTCTAAGTTAGGTAGATCTCTCATCAAACTTGAAAGCAAGCATTATATGTTGCTGTATGTTTGGAATGTACCTGAGTCCAGAGAGGCTTTCTCATCACAAGTCTGGGAATCTGAGACTCCTTGGTTCTCAGCTCTTAGAACTGTGGCTTGAGAGGTCTGGTGGCAACTTGTGGTGTGGAAGAGGCCTTGCCACTGTGCCAGATGTGCCAAAATCATAAAGCAACTCAGTGGGTTCAATTCTTGCTGCCATTGCTATTTCTGGGGCTTACGTCACACTATCTAGTGACATTCAAATCTTTGTATTTAGCACATTTATTCTCTGGGAAAGAACAAATTATGAATTTACAGCCTATTCTTTTTTTAAAGAGGAAAGAAAGAAATGCATGTGGGGATTAAGACCTGAAAATTAATGTCTTTGATCTGCCCAAGACCTTTTCAGTTAAGTCTCATTGTCTGTGGATCATGTTCATCTGCTATAGAATGGAAGTACTCCAGGGCCAGGCATTATCTTTTCAAAGTTTGTGTAAAATGACCCATTTGCTTTTATCATTCCTGGTGTACATAACAGACAGTTATTGTTCCTGACAAGAGAAAAAGAAAAATGGCAGACTCATCACATGTCCTAAAAGCTCTGTCTGCAAAAGGAATCCCATTACGTACATATTGTAATCCCATTACAATGTACTGTAAAGGTATGTACTGGTATGTTCCCCCTGGGAAAACCCTGCAATGCATTTCTCCAAATCTAGAAAACAGATGAGTGAGAGTTAAGTCTAATTATGTAAAGATTCTTTGCTTTACAAGACAGTTTTTCTAAAGTGTCTCTTTAAATAGCCAAATCCCTTTTTGGAGTATTCAAAATTGGATTTGCTTTGCAAAAATGTTTAGACTCAACTTTTCAAGAGCAAAGAGAGTACACAGAAATGGAGCACACTCCATGTCAAGTGTCAATGGGGAGGTCAAACTTAGTGATCACAGTAACAACAAGGCTCTCACCATCCCATCTCTGAGCCCATCAAAGTCAGTATGTCCAAATGTGGCAGGTGGCTTTTACAGGGCATTGGGTGCCCTCATTTCAGGCAGGAAAACTAAGCTGGCACTGAGGTCATTGTCCATCATTAACTGTGACTCTGGCAGCCAAGGGCATCAATTCATGCTCTGAGCCATCATGCATTATTCAGCATGCACTGAATTATTCACTTAAATAGGGATACTTTAAAAAAAAAAAAGATTGAGACAATTATGAAGAAAACGCTGATGACTTTTATTAAAATAAATGGGAACAGAATTTCTGGAGAAATATTTCTTTCTCCATATATAAGTCTGAGGCAAGGAGAGGTAAAGGAAAAGATGGAATAGGACTAAATAGGAACACAGGGTCAGAAGGAACTCCCCACCGGAAACAAACAATCTTTCCTCCCAATGTCAAACTCTCTTTCTTGCAAAACCTCCTGCTGGCAAATACGAGTATCATTTCTGATGCATAGCAGGACAAAAACAACACTGTGTACTGCATCACTCAATGTAGCAAGGTGAGCATTGTGCAGGCACTGTGTTAGACTTAACGCTAAGAACACAAGATCCAGAGGGAAGAATGAAATGCACACTTAATAAGACACCTGAGTGCCTTCTAAGACCCTACAATGTTTTTGTGTGCTGTTGTTGCAACCTGGCTTCTCCAGTAGAAAAATGATAATATTTCCTTTTTTAACACAATGTTATACCAATAGTTGATTAGAATTTGTCCATATTTAGGCAAGCTTATAAGGACTCTTTCAGGAAGTTCTATCAGTTGTGATGAAAGGCTATTGTTAATAGGACAGCAAAGGAATTGAGAACTTTAACAGCATCAGGGCCAAGAGGGGGCACTTTGTGAGAGGCACAATACTCAGCATTTTCACAGGGCTGCTCATTTCTGCACTCCTCTGAGTGATATTTTTGTTCCCCTGCTATGTAAGCCTTGTGCGTGCTATATGTGCTGGCCAGTGTCTTCATTGTCCGAATATTAGTGTTTCATATACAGGGCTGGTCTTGGACCCGAAGATGAGTGTGTGAGGGACGAGAGGAGGTACATGGGTCAAGAGCAGTGAAAGGTAAGTTGGAGACTCCGTGGAAAGGAGAATGGTTCATTTGAATTATTTGATGTGACATACACGTTCGGGTTTGTTTTTCAGGTTCCAGCCCTCTCATCTCTCCCAAATACACAGTTTCTGTTCCGAACCAGGCAAGACTGGGGAGAAGGGTCATCCTCAGCAGCAGAGGGAGAACAATGTGAGGTGGCCCTTGAGGAGAGATGATGCCTAAAGTATAAAAATGTGCTCCTGGGACCAAGTGGGAAAGGGGTGCGGGTGAGGAATCAGGCAGCCAGGCAACTGAAGCTTCAGCCCTTCCTAGGCACAGGACTGCGGAAGGGAGTCGCTCACAGGGTGGGTAGGGGTGCTCCTTGTAGCCCCTGCGCAGGTTGGAACTGGGAGCATGTGCTGCAGAAGCTTGCTCTGCCGGGAGGAGGTGTTGGGGTATGAGGGCTGGGTGGGGGCCTGAGGGGTGGCTTGGAGCCCTGGAGGTGGCTGCCTGACGTCACCGGCCTCTCTGGCAATAGGCTGCGAGCTCAGCTCCCGAAAACGGCAGCAGCAGTACGGGCGGGCGGCAGCGCGCCTCGGTGTCTGGCCCCTTCACTCCGTGCCTTCTGCAGCCGCCACTGCAGCCGCGCGGCGGGGCTCCCTCCCTCCAGCCAGCCTGCAGCTCCAGGTAAGAGACTCGGTGCGGCTAAAGGTTCCCGGCGACCGGCGGCAGGGCGGGCGGTCAGGAGAGAGTGGGCAGGACAGACCCGGCGGCCGGAGCCGCACCCCTGGCCGCGGCCCCGACCCCGGCCCCCGGCCCCGCCGGCCCGGCCGCGCGCCGCCTCGCTGCTCCGCAGTGCAACAGTTTGCAGCCGCCTCCGGAGAGCCGCGAGGGCTCTGCTGCTCGCTGCGGGTCTGCCTGGCGCTGGTCCCGGGGAGGATCTCCGCACCCTGGGTCCGGGAAGGCCGGAGAGAAGGTCGGTCCCCTAAACTTTGCAGGCGGGAAGCCTCCGCCTTCCATTGCTAGCCCTCCTAAAAAGAAGCAGGATACTGGCAATGTGTGTATGTGTGTGTGTGTGGGGGGGGGGTGGAGGGGCGCATGGAGATGGGGAGGAGGGGGCGTTTGTGGGGATGTGCTTCATCTGCTTTTTTTTTTTTTTTTTTTTTTTTTTTTTTTTTTTGTGGGAGGAGATAGCAGGGAAGAAGGCTGGGGAAAGAATGGAGTGCCGTCCTGCGCTTCAGCCGCGGCCCTGGCCAGAGGCGGAGTGGGATGAGGTTGCCCGCGGTCCCCCTTTTGGGTACAGGACCCAAGGGGTCTGACGCCGGCCGCCTGGACAGGGAGAGTCGGAGGTGGAGGGACAGGAAGGGAGAACTGCATCCCGGGGCCCACTTGGCGGCGCCCGGGGTGGGTGCTGGGAAGGGTGGGATCCTGGCGAAGACCAGCACGGAGCAGGGCGCAGGAGAGAGGAGAGGCATGGATCTGGAAACAGGGACCGGCTGCGTGCCTGTTGTCATTAGAAAGTTGTGAAGGGCGAGGAGAGTGTCTCCTCTGCTGAGTAATCCTCTCCGGGGTGCGGGCGCGGACCCCTTCCTTCCCTGACTGCGGAGCAAGCCCGGGGCTGGCGGCTCCGGAGCGGAGCGCGGCCTGGGGCGGGCGGGCAGGGGTCTTCCTGCGGCGGCGGTGCAGACGGGCAGGTCCGCGGAGGCAGCGCGCCCAGAGGGCTTTGCAGTGGGTCCTTGCCCCGCACCCCCTGGGCCACGACCGCATCCTAACCCAGCCTGTTCTCTTTGCAGCCCGGTGCCTTGGCAAAGGAAAAGAAGGGCGCTTGGACACGCGTTCCAGGCGGGTCCGGAGAGCCTTTCCGGGGCGCCCTCGCTCTCTCTCCTGACGTCTCCCTTGCCCGCAGTGACTCCCTCAGCCCTCTGCTCCTGCGCATCCACTCCCACCCCGGGGAGCCGTTTCGGTTGGCGTGGGCTCCGTCCTCCCTCGGCCGGCCGGTGGGAACGGTGAGCCCTAGAGAGGAAGTCTGGTAGGCAGGGCCCCTCCCAGCCCAGCGCCCATGAGTGCCAGGGCGCCCAAGGAGCTGAGGCTGGCGCTGCCGCCTTGTCTCCTCAACCGGACCTTTGCGGCCCCCAACGCCAGTGGCAGCGGCAACGCGAGCGCCCGAGGCGGCCAGGGCGCAGGCGGCGGCGGCACCTGCATTACGCAGGTGGGACAGCAGCTCTTCCAGTCCTTCTCCTCCACGCTGGTGCTGATTGTCCTGGTCACCCTCATCTTCTGCCTCATCGTGCTGTCCCTCTCCACCTTCCACATCCACAAGCGAAGGATGAAGAAGCGGAAGATGCAGAGGGCTCAGGAAGAGTACGAGCGCGATCACTGCAGCGGCAACCGCGGGGCCAGGGAACCCCTGGCCAGTGGCCAGGCCCCAACCCAAGTCAAAGATGCCCGGCGGGAGAGGCAGCCTCGGGACTCCGCCTTCTGCGACCCCTCCAAAGCCTCTTCCTCCACCTCTTCTTCCATCACCTCCTCCTCCACCTCCTCCTCCTCGTCCCCAGGCCTCCCAAGCCAGGGTCCCTGTGCTCCTCCGCCTCCGCCCCCCGCCCCCAGTCCGCAAGGAGCACATGCCACCTCCTCCTGTTTGGACACAGCTGGTGGGGCCCTTTTGCAAACGGTGGTACTGTCCTGATTGTCTAGCCCCCTCTCCTCCTCCTTCCTTGTTTCCAGCATCTTTGCAGTCCTCGCTTTTCCCCCTCGGTCCTCCCTCTCACTTTTCTCTGACCTCTCTTTCCTGTTTCTTCTTTCCTTATGTGCCCTCCCCTTACTGTTTCTCCTCCGCCGAGGCACTGTGCGGTATTTGTAAATATTGGGTAAGGAAAGTCTCGGAAGAAGAAATAACGCTGATAACGACACTTTATTATTAATATTTATAGTGATTATTATAATACCAATAACACAATCCAAGCGCATGACAAATCACGTAATTTCTCATTGTCAATGAAAGACGCGTCTTCCCTCTCCACCCTGCGCCCCCCACCATAAGGAGGAGAAACCGCACAAGCTACCAAATATATAACAGGTATTAACCCTGGAGCAAGGAGTGGAGGGGCCCGGTGTGTTGTACATAGCTGTCAGGTTAAGGTTCCCCCAAGCTTTCACTTTCCCGTCAGCTTCCCTCCCTTCCTCATTCCCTCCCTCAGCCAGGCTCAGGCAATAGTATATGATGAAGAAAACGTCTACATTAAACACCAGGACTACCAGAGGCCGCAGAGACAGTCCCAGAAAGAAACGTTTATTTATGACAGGTACTGCTCTCCAGTCATTCCTCTTCTCACTCCTTAGGTAACCATTCCCTTTTCCAGGACCAGGCATTTAAATTTACTTTTAGATATGCCCCTTGCTGACAGAGCATATTAAAAATCTGTAAGTTAATTTTTAAAAATCTACTGTTTTTGCTCCCTGCACCGCCTCCACCTGCACACCTTTGACTTGTGGCATTTTCAGGATTTACACAGGACTCGGGAGCTGTCCAGCCAGTTCTGGTGCTGAAATAGTCTCACAGAACTGGTTACTTTTTTTTTTTGGTTGCGCAGGCGAAGGAGGGGCTTTTTGGAAAGTGACTGTTCTGGTTTTTTGTTGTTGTTGTTGATTCCTTTCTCCTTTTTCTACAATCTAGTTTGTGTGTACTATCGGTTTTCTTAATACTTAATATTGTATAAGTTACCTTTTTTGTAAAAAAAAAAAAAAAAAAAGTATTAGGTGATGTTCTGAAAGTGCAGTATCTAACCAACCAACCAAAATGTTTCTGTTTCATTTTTAGGACAAGTATACTTTTGTTATACATTTGTTACATCAGTACGAAATACAGAAGCAAACTATAGTTCTATTCTACATCCTCCAAACTATATATTCTTGTTCTTAATTTCCAGCTGTCGGTATAATGGTTATCACTGGATGAGATATTCAGTGGTGCAAGTCTGGCTTCTGCTGTTTCCAGAAGTGTTCTTTTGTATCTTACTCTGTAGTAGACTGTTATATAATATAACACATATGTTTTTCTTTTGCAAATAACAGAAATAACCACAATAGAAAACAAATAATGGATGTGCAGGAATGCCATCTATTAAAACATGGCTAATATTTAAACAGTGCCTGTAGTCCTCCCTGCATGCAGTTACCACCTGGAGGCAGTAGTGTGTATGCTTGCTTGTACTGTATGTGTTTGGAGGTGAGACTGGTGGGGATGTTGGGCAATTTGGATGACAGGACATGCAAATTTCAAGTAACTACTTTATAGGATAAAAATATTTGTAGCTTGCTTACTTAGAAATCTGTGCTTGCATCTGAAATGTGGCAAAGGAAGTGTTCTCTTTCTCTTTATGAGTCTGGCTTACCTAACTTCAGTGAGTACACGAAGAAAGGTTGGGGGGAAAAAAGGAAAGTTAGAGAAAAAGATTAATTGTTGTTGAAAGTTTCTGTTTTTGTTTTTGTTCTCTCTCCTGATGCCGGAGAAGGCAATCTATGCTAGTAATGGAACCTACCCATGGTTAGTTACAACTACTGTATTTTCCGGCGTATAAGACGACCCCCTAATTTTACAGTTAAAACAGGTTTAGGCCTATATTCGCTGTATAAGACTACCCCTCACTTCCAAGGCAACACCAGTTCTTTTTTTTAATAGACCGCCTCTCTGACTCTGGCCAGTCTGAGCAGGCTTTTTTTCCTTTCAAAAGTCGTCTTATACGCCGGAAAATACAGTATGTTTCTCCTGGACTGATGACAGAGCATATTGCAATCTTAATTATATTCAGTGACATCCCTTCTTGGGAACCAACTCTTGACAGCTATTCAAACATTTGGAAAATGTATGAGTGAGGACATTATACAAAAAGCTCAAAAGAGTTCTTACTAACCTACAGGGTGTTAAGCACCAGTGCCCCTAAGTGCATCCCTCTCCCAAGTAATTAGTAGTTCTAGATTCTCTGTCCTGGTTCCTAGCATATGTGCTTTTTTCCCCAGAGAAAAACATTACTTCTGAGGTTAAGTCACCCAAACTCAGTCTGCATCTTTTATAAACAATAATTAAATAAGCTTAATTTTAAGCACCCATTAGATATTCACTCAAGTCCTTTCCTGAAGCACAGAGGATCATCATTTAAACATGCTATGTGTTAATATTAGCGAGATCAGGTACATAATCTTTGGGTACAATATATTAAACAATGAACCAGATTCTTTCCAGTGCCTTAGTCACTTCCTAGTAATAGGTAAAAGAGTGCATTAACTCCCTCAGGCCACCAGGAAACACTTTACTGCATCAGAGTTATATGTTGTACATCAGAAGGACTAAGGCACTGTGAAAAAGGAAGTCCTTTAATATTTGTAGTTCACCCTCATCTGGCTGTAGCTCTTTAATAACTTATTACAGAATGACTTTTGGATTTGAAATTTGAATAGAATCAAGGACTCAGAACGGAGCTTCCTTATTTCCATTGACTCCATTAAGTGCATGAGTATTACTTTCTACCCCTTATTTGGTGCACTCTTTATAGTGAATAATTTCCCATTTTATTAAAAGCAATAAGATGTTCTGTTGTGAGCAATGCTGGATGATGATCCCATTTCCTTGGTGCTGAAGCCACTCCTACATTCTTGCCTTATGAATCATAGTACATTCAAGGCATGCAATAATAATCCCCTTCCAAGGAGCAGCCTGTACACTCCAAGGGTAATTATGAAATTGTCCAGTGTAATTTACCTCCAAAGGAATTAGAGGAAAGAGAAGAAATGATAGCATTATGAATATTGTTTTTAAAAAATACCTTGCTATCTCTAAACATGGGCACACATCCATAACATACTCTTATTGGGCATCTTTAAATATGGGTGCCTTTTCCCATTAATTGACTCTGGTTTAATATGTTTAATACTGCTGTGTGTAAGATGATGTGGTTTGTGAGTCAAATTTCAAGCTGAGTTTAATATTCTCAGAACCCTAAGCTCCCAGCAAAATCACTTGAGACTCTTTATGAAAGAGAATTACCTGAAGCCTAGTAATGCCAGTCCCACCAAATTATTGCAATAGGCACATATCCAAGCAATTTGCACAGATCCTGTTTAAAGTTTTGCTTCTTATAAGAGCTCAGTTGACAGTCCAAGGAGTTTGGGATGCTATCAACAGAGCATCTTAGATTTCATTAATATAAAACAAAAGACAATCTGGAAATAGCTAAATTTATTTTAAAGATTTTATTCACTGATGTCCCGTCAAACTAATTGCTTCAAATCCCTGTGGCTATAGCTAAACTTCTGCACTTGCTATTCTGTATTAATAAGGTGGCATGCTTATTCTTATTGTTTTTAAAAATGAAAAAAAAAATGGAGAGAAAGCATTATGTCAACTGTATGGGACTCTGAATCTTAATGATGTAGATGGATATAATCTTCTTTAGAATTTATATACACCCATATATATGTATTTCTATATGCATACATTTTGTACAAATTTACAATGGACTTTTTGTATTCTCTTTCCTGCCATTACAAGAATGAGATGGAAACCAAATTGTTGTTCCATCCTCTTATCCAGAGAGGATACTGAGAAGCCAGGTATATGCATGTATTTATTTCTCTGGGGTCAAATCTGAATACCTTTCTCTTTATTTAATGAAAGGGAAGAATTCTAGTTGGCTCAGGAAATTGGTAATTAGATAAGCTTCCTTTTATAGGTAGTGACTCAAATTAGCAATGATAATGAACCTGTGACCATATCTATGTGGTCTGAATATCTAGGTGGAAAGCAAAAAACACCTAGGAGAGGTTTAGGACCACCTAGACCACAAGCCTGGATTGTTGCTCGATTTTCTATATTTAATCTATATGTTGTGTGGAAATAAAATATATCTGCATAGCTAAAGGTAAAGTAAAAATATGTCCATTATATGTTTAGTTTGATAAGTAGTTTTTGGAAAATATGGATAAATTAGCTTTAAAAAACTTTGGCATCTGACTTTTCCACCATTTCTATTTATATCAATTGAATTAATTAGGTGATGTTTAAAATTCTAAGAATTTTTTCTTTCATTGTGCAGACATAAGTTTTAAATCCTTTTCTGTGTGTAACAGTTGAGCATTTGCTAGCTGATATGATGTGGAACCTGTAGGTTAAATTAGAACCAGAAACTTGCATCTGATCTGGTCAGACTCCTCAGGTCCACTTTGAATCAGAATCTGAAAAGCTACTTATCTGGGCCAGCCTCTGTTTAAACTAGTAATTGTGGCTTATAGATATTTTGTTCACATGAATTGATTTATTTATAGAGGGGTATTTAATCATTGGGTTGAATAATAATTTATCCTGATTCTGTTTTTTTTGTTTATTTGATAACATCTGAGAAATAACTTTGATGGCTTAATATCAATACTTATTAATGTCACCAACCCAATAATACAATTGGTGCCATGTAGGAATGCTTAGCTAAGAATAAGAATTTAATTAACTTTAATCGGGGACAATGTCTTATGAAGTGGTTCTATGTGAGGCAGAGACTTGTGACTTAATTGGGTTGTTTTTATAGAGAGATTAACAATAGTGATGACAACAAGAACAACAGCAGAAAAACTGATTTTTGAACTCGAATATATCTAAGAAACAACAATAAAACAGATATTAGAATTCATGGAAATTTT